GCCGTTTAGCTAGGCTTCAATGCGACATATGAGCGGGAAGCATCTTAATCCGGTAAAGGTTGAACGTCTTGAAAAAGAAATTCAAACTATCCAGTCCTGTTTCGAATGTGTAGAGGCGCTTTTAATCAAACTTCAACGAAGTTTTGCCTTTAAGTTAAGTGTAAAATGTTCATCATTAAAGCCGTTATTATAATGCTATAAACTGCCATGGGTCTACCAAGCAGCTGGCTTTAGTTCTCTTTTTCACTCGACGTTTGACTCCTGTTCCAACCACAATTTTTGAGCTTCTGCGATAAGATAAAAGGTATTTGAACTGGTTCTTTCGTATCTGTTGTACATAGAGACTAATGTATATATACATAGAATCATCACCGAGCTTCAAATTATATTATATAGACTAACTAGATAACAAATACGATATGAATTTTTGTGTATGGCACTTTTCTACCTTTCACCGTTCACACCCGTTTTTTTAATACTTCGTTATGTTAACAAGTCTGGATAAAGAAGTGCACACTAGTAAAGGATTTTAATGTTGATTTAGCACGTTGCTGTATAGGCTTCAAATCCTGATGGCTTCATCTTTTTTGAAATAGCTGTGAGTAAATGGAGAACTCTGTGATTTTTTCTGAGGCAAAAAGGGTGCAGACTCATTGGGTGGATACAAGCATGAAATAGCCGAACTGCGTTTGCCAACTGACAAATAGTGAGAGTCGCAGCTTAGAGACAGAGTCAAAGATGGTCATACAATCAGTGTTAGGCAATTTAATATTGATAATTGAGTTTAACGATGTCCCACCTTCCGACAAAGCTACACTAGGGAAAATGTTATTTTTCGATTCCTGCACGGCAAATTTATCTCCGCTCTACTCCACGTAGCTTCGACATTGGATTATCACCGTTTGTGACGAATGTTCAAGCCACTACTTTGCCCGCTTAATCCGCTGAGATGACAATTAGATTTGATGATAAAGGCTCGACAAAGCTTGGACCCGAACCCAAACGAGAACAACTGCTATGACCCTGAATCCGCATTTGCACGCAAACATGATTCTATCATTCAGTTTATTTCACGGTGCCGAATCCTACAAGACTGTTTGAATCTTAAGGCATATATATGTAAACTGTTGAAATCATCCTTTCTGCATATGTGGCTGACGAGTAGCTTGCCGAACGATGTTGACGCCCTTCTCCAGAATTAAGATCCGCTTTCAGGGATGGTAACACTATTAAATACGTCAAAGGTAAGAAGGACGCTTCCGCGTTAATTGCCGTAATTGACGATGCTAAAATGACGTCGTTGTCCTGTCCCGACTTACGTCAGTTATTGAGTTGGATAAGCAAGCTGACTTGTCCTGAACGAATTTCTTTCAACATTCAAATGATCTACCTATAAAGTGATATGCTGAAGCGAACCAGGCATACTTTTATAGAAATATGTGTCTCTTTTTCAAAAATATACGCTGGATATTCTGTAAAGCACAGGCGCTCACAAGCGGTTTCCTGTGTTGCGAATTGAATTGTACTTTTTTATTGTCTCATTTAATCACTTTTTATTTTCTTCTTTCACAAATACTAGACGTGGACTCACGTGATCGGTCACGCTTAATCTATGGCGTGCGTATTGTTTACCGTAAGTACTAAGCAAAATCACAGTAAACAGAATGCGATGAGTACATCCCGTTTCATGTAAATTGTTTCCTTACAAAATTTACAAAAATTACACGTGCACCTGCCATTGCCAATGTGAAACAAATTTTATTAAACCAATGGTGTTCTTATGGCAAACTTTAAGGAGAGTAGCTTCGGTTTTTAGTACAGGCAAGGCAACGAAAAGATCTTGTCCTTGATCTAGCTCGAATGACGTTTTCACAGTGACTCACTTCGTAGCCTTCAATATGCCTAGTTACAACTTCAGGCCGCTTAGACCAATTCTTACGGTTAGTTCTACGGGGTAACCTCGTCATCTTGACAGCACGTGATAACTACGTCAATTTCCATACACCTTAGCAACCTTAGATAGGGCTGAATCGCATAGCATAAGCGGGGCAATTGCAAACCAAAACAGTGTACATTTCTTGCCTTGTTTCTACTGAATATATTTGTATTGAATTAACTTCTGGAGGGCCTCCTCTGGGCCGCGTTTGGTAACATATTGTGGTAATTCGCAACCATCGCATCTACGTTAGTCTATACAGTGAGCACTAATCCTGCTTGCTGTTAGCTAATTTAACAGATTCAGTCGGTAAAGTCGAAAAGCAATGCCCGTAAGTCTGTGGATTTAGGCAGCTGTAGCTAATTAATTGAAATAGAAATTAATAATTACAGTTAATTCTGTTAACCAACCGGCGCGTTTCTACATTAGAGCAAGCGTTCGCTCGTTCAGTGAAAAATATGGGTATCTCATCAGGTACCATTTTGCAATAGCATGTTTATCAGCCGATTTCCACGGTGTATTCGCTGGTGACCCCACCTCATTTCGTGCTGGGAGTCAGCGGTTTAATAAGAAGCTTAACTACAGTAACGGACGTAAAATTCAAGAGAGCTGTCTTAGCTTATCGGTATGATGAGCCGATGAAACATTCGTCTATGCACGCTTCATTGCACAGACTGAACTCGCAATAACGGCCCTTCACAGTCCAATAAACGTTTTAATTAAATCTTTTGCCGAGATGCTTCTACGAGGTACAACAACCTTTTCATTTGATGGTTTGTCCGAGCTCACATGACATTAATAGGTAAAATTGAAAAATCTTTTAGAAAAAATTGCATTATATACACAAAATAAATCATCGGCAGCTTCGATGATTGTAATTAATGAAGAAGAAGAAGAAGAAGAAGAAGTCAAACCGCTTGATCTCGTTGCCCACCTTTGTTGATCTATTACAAACAGGTGAAAATAAAAAAAAAGAATAAAAAAACGTTTTCGTGACTGTCTCGAGTGAAATTGTATTTCGTCCTCACCAACTAGCTCTGTCGGTCAGTGCAGTGTTATACTTTTTCCAAGAAGCTTAAACAGCGCATAGCTAAGGCGATGGAGGTTTGTATGATCAGAGCAATCTTCGCGCGGCTCATAGAGCGAATGAAACAGAACAAACTCCACTACAGGTACGATGGAAAAGGATTCTCTCTGATCAATACACAGGTCACACGCAGGCCGTAGACTGCAGACTTGGTGCGTCTCTGAAAATAGTTTCGTCGTGACACCGTGGTAACATCAATACCGATAAGTAATTCGTTTACCTCATAACTAGAGCATACATCTGATAACATAAACGATGTTGATAACCTTAACTTAAGCAGCCAATATTTTGTATATATACGAATCTACTCAGCACGCTATTTTCGATCTATAGACCACTTTTTGGGGGTAGCGAAATAGCAGATGATCGAGTACTCACGAGCTAACTGAATAGACGCCAAGCACCCGACAATGAACACACAGTATCATGATGGCTTAATAAGGCTTAAACGTAAATTTAAGACCCCATGATATAATTAGGTTCAAAACCTAGACTACAAACATTTTGTTTTTACAGGCAGTTACCATTCGAAGCGATACTTAACTAATGCGATAGGACAGTAGAGCTTGCTACTTCGATTCAATAAGGTTTTATTCCTAAGAACAAGAATAATAATAGTCGCAGCGTTATCTATTGAGGCCTCCTATTAACTAATGTCGGTAGATCACGATCTGAGAATGTAGATCGTGATTAAATCTTTCAAGTATGCTTTTTTATTTCCATACGAAGCTGCCGAAGCCCGCATTCATTTTAATAGAAACGTGCGTTTCGAAAGGTCGCTTTTGCTCAGACCTTCCTACCATTGTTGTGAAGCTATTACAGACACTTATTATCGGCAGATCCCCTAAAGTAGTAAAAGTGCTCAGTAAAAATGCTCGAATATTTCAAGTCACTTTAGTTTTTGCATACCTTTCCGACCAGCGACAACTTGTAAAATCTTCCCGACCCATTGATGATATATATTCACATTTCGTGTTCCAATCGGACTGGATGTCGCCTCAAATTGTTTTACTCCTCAGCCTAAATACTAACTATCCGCTCAAACTGACGTATACACACTTGTTCGCTTTTCAATAACGAAATCTAGCAAAAGGACGACGCCTTACCGGCGCAGAGACTACGGAAGGTGTTCGTAAGAGCCTATTTATTTCCCGGGCACAGGTTCTTTCGATCAGCCGTCAATAGCAATTTCTGACCAATTTTCACATCGTCCAGCCCATCTCTACTCCACAGCACATTATTATAACGTAGTGTAACATTGCTTGGCCTACACATTCCCTGCATCGGGTCTGTCGCTACGAACTGGGTCAACCCCTTCATCTTATGCTTACCATCACTAAGGCGAACCCGCTGCGTCAGGGGTTCAGGGCCGTTTGCGGCGAGCTTCTTACTGCACCCTTTTGTTGATGGTTGATTGCCTCTTCTGTTCTCTAAACATCTAAGTAGTTTGGTTGCAGCCGAATCTACGCAGGTGCAAGGCGAGAGTGACTATGGTGCAGGTTCAACACTACCTAACTAGGAAATGCACTTTCAACAGTTTGGCAAAGCGACTGCAAATAATTGTTTGTCGGTGTTTCTCTTTTACGGATTATGCCACAATAAAAATGCAAAATTTCCTGTTATTATCATTATATAAAAAAAAAAAACTCTAGGTTATTGTATACGAGACGGTTATTATGTAATGAGAGGTATTTAATAAAGAATATGATATTTCGTGATGTATAAATGTGTGCTCTGTTTCATGAATAATAATTTGTTACAGTTTTTTCATTGATCAATAGTAAATTTTTGTATTTATCTGTGTAAATCACAAAAAAATTATAAAGTTCCATATCTCCCTTAGCTTCTAAGAGAAAAAAAGAACTCCAATTTGTTCTCCGAAAAAGTCGCTTTGATTCACGCCCACCCCGCGTTTATCTAATTTGTCGACGCAACTATGGCGGCCATTATTACTGGAAGCATTTTTGCAGCTTTTTATTGAGATTTTCGTTCATTCCCGCAAAAGCTATTACGTAGGGCAGCCTGAATACCTTGTAATGGGCGAACACGTAGACATCGTGGTGGACATCGAAAAGCGGCGGCTAAAAGAAACGTAAATGTTTCTTCTATTGATTCTGGACCATCCTTCGTTCACAATCCTCCATACGAACTATCAATATATGCGATAATCGGCGAACTACTCGCTGGGGGACCGCTAAGAATTTTGCAAGCGCCAACGGCTTGGAAAGCACATCCTACGAAGGTTCGTCTTCTTCAGATACCCCCGCTTTTACTTTAGTTAGTTCTTGATACTATGTAGGTTTTCTAAGCTACTGTTCATTTCTATATTCCTTTATGGTTACTCTTCCCGAGTTTCGTACTCGAGAAGGTTTTGTGGTTTAGCGGGGATCACAGTTGATAAGGGACTAGTTGCGATGGTTCAAGGTATCGGCTAAGCTGAACGAATTAACAGAAGTATTCTAGCAATAATGGCAATGATACCAACAACTACCGGCACTGTTGGTCGCTTCTATTTTTTTTGTTACACCACGTTACCTGTTACCCGCTGCTCGCTCAGAGGAAGGCCGCTTTTTTCAGACTCGTATCGCCTAATATTGTTCAATTAGTTTCTTCAAGCTGCTTTCGTTTTCGTTGTTCGGTACTTCCCATATACGTCCAGCTCATACCTTACTGCGTCTTATGACCTAACAGCTCGTATTTCTCTGCCGTATTTTTTCTCCTTATTTCGTCGTCTTCTGATCCATCTTATTGTCAAAATGGTGACTGGCGTTCGATATCGATGAACGTCGACTGATATCGTCCTGTTGCTGTCCCTGTTAAGCTATTTCGTCTCATTGTCGTTTCCCCCGTCTCCCCCCTTTTGGGTTCCTACCGAAGCTCGTTCTGAACTCGAATTGAGCATCTTGAATCCGCATCTAAGAAAAAAGTGCCCGAGTAAGAAAGATCGTGAGAAAGGACGGGAGCTAGAGAATCCGAGATGCCAAAAAACACCGAGCGCTGTCCGCCTGTCGCTACCAACTAACCCGTCAGGTTTTATCTGCCTAAGCTGGCCGCTTGCACAGCAAAAGTCTTCCGCCACAAACCGAGCTGCCACTTGCTTTTCCTTGGAACCTGACTGTCGCCCTCATGTGCTTCTTAAATTCTCTTCTAAAGCAGCCAGCGTTTTCTCGTTCGTGTTCTCTTGCACTTTTTGCCCCTCCCTACCTACCTATCTACCTACCTACCTACCTACCTACCTGCCTGCCTGCCTGCCTGCCTGCTTATACCCTATGTTCCTGGTTTTCGGAAACTGAATTGTAAAATAGGTCGCTTCAAGATAGCAAGTAGGTTGGCTGAGCTAGGACGCCTTCATAAGCGCCATTCGCTTTCTGTGCCTTAACCCTACAATCCCTTTTCGATTCCCGCCCTAGAATGTATATGTGGCTTCCTTCCTCTAGCACAACTCGTTCACCGCCGGCTTCAATAGGATTGGCGGGCTATGCTGTTGGAGGCGGCCTGCAGCGACTGTGGCTGGCCGCTGTCAAAATGTGCTGACTTTTGCAACCACTACGATCACCCAATAGAAGAACCAGCATCAGGATGGATATGTATAGACGTGTGGAAATATCCATAGGTGGATAAGCGCTTTGATGTGAATGGTTCAGGCTGAATGAAGATTGAATGCGCGAAATTCTCCCGCGTACAGCGAAAATAATGTAATATTGGTTGTGAGCGAGCGACGGCTGGCAAGTAAAGGGCTGATGCTAGATGTTCTGATGGGTTTGGTCTGAAGAAATTTCGACTGTCAGAATCTTTTAGCGACGTCGGTTTAAGTCATGCGGCCTCCAATGTGAGCGCACATTGAGGTGATAGTTTTACTTAGTGGCATAAGACGCTGTATTTAGGTAGTGTACCCCTCGAGTTAGTGGATCCGAATTTTACGGCTGCCAAATTCGTTAGAGGGTTTGTACTCTTATAAAAGGACACGTGGTCAAATTCTTTTCTTCGTATTTAGCCGATAAAGAGACTGTCTTGTGCGAAACGCGGTACGGGGTAGCCGATTGGCCAAGGGCCAAAGATCATTTTGTATTTTTGAAGGTTCGAGTTGCACTGCTGCTAAGGTACCTTTTGAATGTATATTTTAGCTGCAGAGTGGGAGGGGAGTCGCATCGTTGACCTTCTCCGGCGATCAAATCAATAGACTAACCATTGTCTCATTAATGACTTCAGTTAAACGCTTATCGATCCTTCTTGCGTGGATCTATTAGGTGGGCGATTGATTATCGGCTGACAACAAGAACGTCAGAATCTGAATTGAAATCATGCTAGCCATCAGATTTGCCGTAAACTCCGTGTAAGATATCCAGTACTGCTAGCGTAAGCGAAGCGATGCGTTGAGTTAGGACCTCGGTGAAATACGGGTTATGTCCTACAAAACTAAATAAGATACACGATTGCGTTGAAGCTTATTTTGAGTCATATACGTTGCTTCGTTACTATAAAATCTTTAATAATGGAAGGCACAAATAAGGCTCTACAACAGATACAAGCACACATATTACGAAAAAGGATGCTGACCTCATCAAGTCTTTACTGGGACACTGAAGTTCACCTCGATCGGGACTGTTAATCCACAGTCCGTTTCAATGTACATCGTGCTACGTGCTACTAGCCAATATAGGAGAGGTAGAATAACGCGCGAAAATGTTCTCGACTTCTGATGGCGGGCCATTTCAAAGCTCCAAATACCTGTCTATGCGGACAAGAAGCTAACAATAGCATTTAATTAAGGCGATTCGTACCTAAGTTATTGCTCCCGCGATAGAAACTCGAGCGTCAACAATCGACAGCGAACTAGTTGAAACCTTTTCAATAGCTTTTCGTGTAGAAATTGCTTTGAATTGGCGTAAAAGACGTAATGAATGGAAAGTTAACCTTGCTAAAATAATAGAACAATGTTAATAACTCACCCACTGTTGCAATTTTTACGAAAATCCAATCGTGTTCCTAGTTGATTATGCCTCAGTCTTCGGCTGAAATGTGAGGTATAGTCAGGCCACGACTAGAGCATTCTTCATCTGGGCTGTCCCATATCGCCCAGATCAGCTGTTAGGTGCTTCCATCGAACGGCAAACTGAAAACAACAACCTAACGCTAAACCCCACGGCTACGTCCGAATGTTCGTCGCAAAGAGAAGTAGTTTAAGGTGAGCAAATCTAAGCAGCAAATGAACGACAAATAATTAAGCAACGTTGTCGTTGAGTCGCAAAGACACAAGAACTATTTGGCCTGAACAGTCGAAAGGACCAATCCAAATCGTTCGTCCACGAACGTTTCACCCAGGGTATACTATTATATCTGATCCTACGGTGCGATATTACATGCGTGATAAAATACAATATGATTTTATACAGCGCTATGTGACAGGTTTTTCTAACAAATCGCAATATCAGTACATCCATATACGTTTGCATTCACCTAACGACCACTTTTTGCGCTGAGTCATATTCTAATTCTGTATGACACTCTAACTTATCCGAAATAAGCGTTACAAGACTTGAAACGGGGGACGGTTACAGACCACAGACGTCATCTTGCCTCAGGTACTACGGCGGAAACCCCTATTAGATGTTAAATTTTCGCTCACTTCCATCTGTGATACTTACTGTATGAACAGCCTAGAATAATGTAAGAATATGTTTAACTGCTCAAATTTGTATTTTTGTTTGTTTTACTTGTAATAACGTAGCGTATTTGTCTGATAAATTACTCAGGTCTGACACGGTACGATACTCAATTCAACGATAATCAATCTAGGAAGTCAAACAAAAAAACAACACCCTAGCACTGTTTGTTCTGAAAACGGAGAAGCATTTTCACTTTGAGAGTCGTATGTGATATAAGTATACGAATATGATACTTGGATAAATACAAAAACTTGAACATTAAGTTCGCAACTTATAATGTGACAGCTATAAATTTGGCAGTCAACTGTCGATCGACGAGTATTTTGTTTGTCTCGCGGAATGATTACTACGGCTATTGAAAATAAGATGAATTTGGTCAAATAGCCAGTGTACAAGTCAACAGCAGGAAGCGTGTGATAGAGACATTAACGATATAGGCCTAATGCAACACATGATAATTCTCTCTCTCTAACGTACGATAGTGTTTTTCAATACATGAAATTTCCTTTTAAACGAATAATGTAAACTTCGCTAATTCAATATATGGACTTTCAAGTACACCTTTATCTATTTCAAGTGATCATAAATGTTTCATTAATTTAATATAGTCTCACGACGAACTCTTTTGGAACGTGGATTACAATTTTTCTTTCCATTTTTCATCATTTACGTTCCGGAGAAGGAAACGATAAAAAGGGAAAAACATTACTCGACGTTAAACCGGATGTTATCGGGAGCGGTATTCTTCTAGCTGTACAATACTGTAACTTTATTGTTACGTGTACTTACAGGTGAGGATTATATAGTAGTTACTGAAGATAACGGTACTGATACTGATAAAACCGGAATATTGTTAGTCTGTGGGAAAGAGCGGCGGAAGATAATTGAATAAAACGGGAACGAGGCTTTCGATTAGACACACTATACATTGAAATTATTAATTATACAAAATTTAACGAGCATGAATATCGATTCAAGGTAATATCAATTTAAGCCACGAAAAAAAGATTAGTGCTTTATTGAGCAGCATTTACAATTCTACACAAATAACGCTCGCCGGGTTATTGTTGGAGGCACGTCATAGAAACTGGAGCCAAAAACCTCAGGACTTGGAACGTTTTCATAGCTTTTCAATCCTTTCAGTAAAAGAAACACGCCAATAAAATTATAGCAATAGTTTATTTTAATCATATGATTGCAATAAATTACGTAAATAAAACACTAAACAGTTGATTTACCTATCTCTTTACGAGTTAGGTCGCGTTAGAGGCAACTATTAAACGTAAACAGGCTGATAGCGTACGGTTGTCCGGAACTTTGGATGCTGTACGAATCATTTTTGGTAGAAATTAATTTTTTATCGTATTTAGATAATGATTATTTAATAAATAAAAGTTGTGCGCCAATTCGAAAGGAAAACATGATTGTATTTCAGTCCATCATTTTTGGCTCATCGTTCAGGCGAATGTGGCTTAAATAACGACTGATGCAAATACTTTGGAGCTATTGTTATATCTGTTTCTATTGAACCATGGTAGATGGCCAAGCGCCTGCGCGAACACAGGTGGTCGTTGTAAAGGTAATAAATTTACGAGGCCACATTTGTGTTATATATTCTATAAGGCGCTTCACTCTAATCCTAGGGGTGGAACTTTACTGAACTTCACTTTTGCGTTATGTTATTAAATCTTACGAACAGCTTTGTCTCATAACGACGTTTTTCAACACCTAACCTATAAAATTTTTCGATATATTGACTCGTAGATGATCAACAGGTGATGTTACTGTATTTTATTAAATAACCTCATCAGCCGACCGTGCGTGCTAAGCAGGTGCGTATAGATTCATCATCCTGCAGTATACCAGGCTGTCTGCAGACGACAGATGGACAAAGAGAAAAAAACTAGTTGACCCAAGTATGAATAACCGTACAGATTTTCGCAAAAATAAGCGTTTCAAATATATTTTCAACGCATAACAAACACAATGGAGAGCGTTTGTATCTGTTGTATGTTTGAAATCGACATGATATCGTGGCTTTCCTATAACCAACACTGTGTAATCAACAACTACTACGTGGAGTCCCTGTAACACATACAAAGATATAGGGGGCACATGTCACAAAGAGTCCTTGTCGCACACGCCGCTTAGCAGCAAGGATGTTAGCAGTTTAGGACAATGAAAGGTTTCTTTTCTGTTTTGACCAGTCGATTACCAGGCCGTTGTGGCTCGTTCAGCTTGGTGCGGCAGCAATAGTAGTGCAGCTATAGAGGGGCTAAACACAGCCATTGCCACCATCGTATGTCCGTCCGACAAAGGCTTTTCCTATACGTCTCTGGCTAAAAAAAAAGATCTACAAGAATCCATCTAGATTAATTGCCAGCTTGTACATATTAGCTTCAATAAATATGCTTCCGAATTTTTAGAAAATAGATATATATATATATATATATTAAAAAAACCTATTTCAGTGGTCCAGATAGCTCTACAATGTCGCGTATTTCTTTTCTATATGGGCCAGAAGTGAAGCTATCCGAGGATGCAATCAATTCGTGAAAAGAAATCACTTCGGCAAAGCACCTGTCTGTCTAGAAAACGCTATGATTATGTCTACACATATCGTTGCCGGCAAGTTAACTAAGTCAGAAGTTATGATCCGCCTACAATAGGTCCACATGAAACCTTACGCTGCAATGTATAGAAGCATCATGAATGTTTCACATGCAATCCACGAACTGCGTCTCAGACTTTAAAAAGAGAACAGATTGAAATAACGTACACATCGGTGTTAAAAGCCACCTTATTCGCATTGAGGCTAGTGGAACTTTAGCGGATCCATTATTATAGTATGGAAAATTATCCACGATAAAGCCTAATGGTCGGAAGACATCTTTTGTCAATCCAATATCTTCCAAGAGAAAGACGTATCTTTGACATTACGCGAGTGGCTAAGTGGTGTCGAGCACAGCGTTCTCGTTTCTAAGCCCCGGTACCATACTAAACCTTAACTCATTTCTGATGATTTCCCTGTTGAAGTCGGGGGCTTATCATAATGTGACGCGTCCTTTAAGTGTGCAATCTGTGACCCCACGGTGACCATAACGATTCACATCTTCTCGGCTGCTCAGGGGGTCGGGTGAAGTAGCGAAACGTGCAGAGCTAAATACGATTGTTCTTAAAGCACTACGTAAAGTAAACCTTCAATGCTTAAGTCAAATGGTTTAGCAGAGGATGAAGGGAGGGGACCCGATAATGTAACATTAAGGTTTTCAGGCAAATGGTTAGCTTAAAACAACTGTGCAATAATACATGCTGTCCCGCTCCTACGTTCATCATACCAGCGCTTTTACTGTATGATAAATAAACAGTAAGCCGACGCAGAGAAGCTGCGATTTCAAGAGCATATACCTGTTCATTTTGATTACCATGGGAACCCCTTTACCAGTAAGTGACATGTGAAAGGTTCCGAAACATATGTCTTCTAATATGAGCGACAGACGGCATGGTAGAATCTCAGAAAGCTGACGTCGGAGCAGCTCGTAGAGAGAATGTATTTGGTCGTAATAAGATAACGAGATCACACAGTTCTACAAAATAAATGTCACGAATTAAAACATCATAATAATAACAAAAACAGTGACTAACGTAGATCTTTCTTTGTTACAAGCTTTATACGTTCGAGGTTTTGTTTGAATACAACGTCAGTTAGGTGAACTCCCTTAGAACTTGTCGTGGGTCATTCGCTTCATTCTGTTCTTGACCATTTTCTCGCATATATTTAGCGTTGTCTCTGAAATAATGACCCGGATGTCTCTTTTGAATTTATCCACCATGAATGGATTGTCACAGTACATCCTGTATTTTGATCAAGAACAAGATCTAGGAGACCATTTGAAACAGCCTCGCCTGAAGATCAGCCTCTCTTACTGAAATGATCATTTAATAACTCGATTACGTCGCTAGTTATGTGGAGAGATGGCCCATACTGCTGACAGCATACGTACTGTAAACTTTCGTCATCGATTTGGGGTGGCAGAATACCTTGGATCACCTCTTGGTAGCGAACAGAATTCGCAGTTTCAAAGGAGAAGGGCCGAGGAAACCTCCGCCCCAGATATCATTTTCTTTGCTATATAAACCTCTTTTGGGGATAGTCTGGTGATTTTCGATCAGTCATAAGCGGCAATTGTGTTTGTCGACACATTTCCCAGGTAAACTGGTGCCTTATTGCTCAGCGCAATTTTTCAGTGAAATTCACTACTTTGAGTCAGCCTGTCTAACGCTTGGGTAACAAAGTGACTTCGGAGTTAATAATCTTTAGACTTGAATATTTGTATCATCTTGATTTCGTGGACGTATATTTCTGTCTCGTTTGGAGGTGTTCTTCCGAGAGTCTCAATCTCGCCAAAACACGTTTGCGAGGCTGTTTAAAAATGAGCGACCCTTGAAAGAGCTGTGCATTGATATTTTCTGCGTTCGGCTATCTATAATATTAGAAAAATTATATTTTACATTTTGGAATACTGCCCAGCTAATAACAGTCGCATTTGCGATCGTCCTATGCGTTCTTAAACGCTGATCTATCAATGGCCAAGTGGAGATACAAAGACGTGTGATCACTTT